TTCCCCATGTAATTGTAGATTAAGGATACCAAAAAAAAAAAGAACTTGGCATTTTCCCCCTAACCTACATCCTCCTCTGGACATGTCCCTGGCACCATTCTCCTGCAGCAGACTTAAAACACCAGACTCATTCTTCACCAGGATTTGATCTCTTTTCCATCTTAACACATGAGGGATGCAATACCTTTACACCCTAACAGTATTTCCATATGTCAGTAATTCTCAATGTCGCACAGATCACAACTTCCAAGAGGAGCTGGAAATGTAGTTTAACTAAACACAATGACCCTATGTGTACCTCCCTCCCAGCTTTCTTGCCTCTGTGCTTTTGTTCATTCCTTTAGTCTTCCCACAAATGCCCCTATCTCTCCCATCTATATTCTGATCTTCATGATCCAACTACTCTATGAAATCTTTCCTGAAAGCTCTAAATTAAAATGTTATTTGCCTCCTCTGAATTTCTGAAGCACTTATTGTTGCTGTTTTCTATTTTTTATTTTTTTCACTTTCTAAATGTTTACTCCTATATTACATTTCTTTCTTTTTTTTAAGGTATCATTGATATACACTCTTATGAAAGTTTCACATGAAAAACATTATGGTTACTACATTCCCCTTTATTATCAAGTCCCCCATACCCCATTGCAGTCACTGTCCATCAGTGTAATAAGATGCCTCAGAGTCACTATTTGTCTTCTCTGTGCTACATTGTCTTCCCCGTGACCCCACATACACCATGTGTACTGATCTTAATACCCCTCAATCCCCTTCTTCCTCCCCACCCCTCCCCTCTGGTAACCGCTACTCCCTTCTTGGAGTGGTGAGTCTGCTGCTGTTTTGTTCCTTCAGTTTTGTGAAGCACTTATTGTTTACATTAATTTATTGATCTTGACTTTAAACCAACCTTCCTTTCTTTCTTCCTAGTTTACCAATCTGCCTCCTTTGTTCCAAATTAAGCAGGTTCCCTTTCACAGAGTTTTTTAGGATTTTGGTATTCTCCATGACTGGCATCCAGCAGATGCTCAAAGCATGCTTTTAAAGATGATACTGTAACCTAAGATGTCACTTTCCTTGTTATTAACATGGGGTTGAAATCTATCTCTAGCTCACCTCCCAGAGATACACTCTCTATATAATTCTATGATGTGATGCTCACCACCACACTTTTTCTCCATCCCTTCTAATTCTGATATGGTCCTTTCACTTCTGTCCACAAAATCAGACCCTGGCCCAGAACTGTTCTGACCAGACCCTCCATGTACCCATTTGCTAACGTTCTCCACCAGTCTTCCCTGGAAGCTCTCTTTGAGCATGTTAAATTTCTCTAGGCAGAAATTCAGCAACATGAAAATACTACATTAACAACTCTTAGTAGTAAAAAAACAAAACTTACCAAATAATATAGGAATGAGAGGTTGGTTGCAGCTGCACTTTTCACTCTACTATCCTTTTTTTCAAATGTTTTTAAGGTCTCCACAGCCTAGAAATGAATATCTGGAGGTTATTACCATTATAATATAGCAGTGTTCAGGCTTACGGCTGGGTGAAGATCAGAGCATCTGGACTGTAAGACCAGGGAAGGCACAAGATTAACACATTCAAGGAAACAAATGACAAGATGGGAATTTAATCTGAGAACTGAATGTATAAAAAATTAAATTAAATTAGAAGCACAATAACTGCAATTAAGAATACAACAGATGTGTTTAACAGCAGATTAGATACAGATGAAGACAGTAGTAAATACTGAGCCTTGTGAGTCTTGTGACACACAGTTTAGAGTTTATTTTGCCTAATAAACAGGGACTGAGATTTTACCTAAAAGACTTGGTCAAATTTGCTCCTTAAAAAATAATTCTGGAATTTCTGCCATTGACTATTGGAGACTAGCCTATAAAAGACCCTTCTCCTACAGAGAAAAATTAGAAAAGTTAGATAAAATACGGAAAGTATTTTTTAAAGGCATTGGAGAGCTTCTGAGGCAACCAGGATTGAAGGTCAAGATCCCAGAAAATGTTCAGACTAAACAAGCACAGCAAAATAAAAGGCTAAAAATACTCTTAGAAAAGAACATAAAAGACATATGCTAACAGAGTGAAAATATAAATGTAATTGAAATTCCAGAAGGAGAAGAAAGCTAATGGCTAAGATTTTTTTTAAACTGATGACAAAATAATTTTGGGAGTATTGCAAAAAATGATCTGAAGTAGACCAAATATAATTACATCTTCAAGCCATGATAAATGAAAGTTAACCACCTGTCAGGTCTGAGATCTTCTAACCGAACAGGACATTCGGAATGGTCAAACACCTGGGGTGCAAGGTGAGAGAATACTCAACCTAGAAATTACTAAGAAATATCAGAAAAAAAAAAGTAGAGAAAGGTGGTAAGTTTTCTTCCCTTCCTTCCTTTAAAATAAATACCCAATAAACTCTCAGAAGTATAGAGGGATAAAAAGCCATTCGCAAATGTTTATGACATGTACAAAGCAGAATATCAAGAGCAAGCAAGGTAACAAACAACAACTTAAAAAAGTGGAATACTATAGTAGTTTATATCACTCCTTTGAGAAACAGCTATGCATATTATAGTTAAGGAAATGTGTTGGATCTGTTAATTGTGGCTGTTAGTAATAATACTTTAAGATGACATTTAACACCAAATTACTCTCCCCCAAAAAGGTTACTATGAATTCAAACAATATATAAAAAGCAATGCAATCCCGAAGCTACTACTTAATATAACAAGGGTATTTTGAACTTAAAACATCCATTTAAAAACATCTGACAGAATAAAAACATATTTCATGTTTTAAGATGTCTAAACTATGACCTATTCTAAAAAGGCTATTTAATTACTCTAATAAAAGGAACATTCTCAGGTTCTTTGGCTTTGAAATGGGCTGTTTTTATAACTGTTCTTTATATGTTCAGTGAATGCATATCTAATATTTCTGGGTTTTTTAAAGTAAAATAATATAAATCAATTTATTCAAAAATGAAACTGATAAAAAGTACATTTAGTAAAATTAATGTTAGTTGTAAATGGCAAAACAAAGAATAAAAATAAACACTGATAACTTGTTTTTGTTTTGTTTTTCCCCACAATTAGGAAAATAGGTACATCTCCATTTTGATTCTTTCCTGTTCGATGCCATCCAGCTACTGGCTTTGCCATTCCACTGAGCTATCTGTACACTATCACTCATATTCAGACCAAATGACTTCACTTCATCCACCTTCCGCTTTTTAGTGGAGCTCTTTATTACAAAGGAGACTACAAAATGACATTATCATTATAAAGAATCACACTCTGTGATTCCAGCATCTTTTTCAAACATTAACAGAGCTAATTATTGAATCATACCCTTATATAAGAAAGCATACTTTTTTCTCTTTATTCTTGAATTATAATCTTCATCAAATGATCATTACGAGTTATATCAATCCAATCCTTTTTTATTTATTTATTGATGGATCATTGATATAGAATTTTATATTGGTTTCAAATTTACCACACAGTGGTTCAACAGTTACACATGTTATTAAATCCTCATCCCCTCTAGTGCGGCTACTATCTATCAACATAAGGAAGATGATACAGAATCATTGGCTATATTCTCCATGTTGTACTACCAACCCCATGGTCAACTTCTATCATGATTGAGAGTTTTTCTGCCCTTTTATTCCCCTCACTTTCCCCACTTACCCATTCTAATCCCTCCCCCAGAGTAACCACCAGTCACCTCCCAGTGTCTATGAGACTACTGCTATTTTGTTCATTTTGTTTTTATGTTCCCCAAATAAGTGAAAGCACAAGGCATGTGTTTTTCTCCATGTGACTTATTTCACTTACCCTCTATCCATGTTGTTGCAAATGGCAGGATTTCTTTTATTTTTATGGCTGAATAATATTGTTATGTGTATGTAGTACATCTTCTTTATCCATTCATCTATTGATGTAAACTTTGGTTGCTTTCCTATCTTGGCTATTGTAAATAATGAGGCAATAAACATAGGTATGCATATATCTTTTTGAATCAGGGATTTTGTTTTCTTTGGGTAAATTCCTAGAAGTGGAATTACTAGGTGGTATGGTATTTCTATTTTTAGTTTTCTGAGGAATCTTTATGTTGCTTTCCACAGTGGCTGCACCAATTTACATTCACACAACAATGTAGGATGGTTTTCTTTATGCCAGATCCTCACCAACATTTATAATTTCTTGTGTTTTGGACAGTGGCCATTCTGACTGGTGTGCGGTGACATGTCACTGTGGTTTTGATTTGCATTTCCCTGATGACTAGCGATATGGAGCAACTTTTCATGTGCCTGTTGACCATTTGTATTTCTTTGGAAAAAAAAAAATTGTTCAGGTCCTCTGCCCATTTTTAAAATCAGGTTATTTGTTTCTTTGGTGTTGAGGTGTGTGAGTTCTTTATATAGTTTGGATGTTAACCCCTTATCACTCACCAACATTTATAATTTCTTGTGTTTTGGACAGTGGCCATTCTGACTGGTGTGCGGTGACATGTCACTGTGGTTTTGATTTGCATTTCCCTGATGACTAGCGATATGGAGCAACTTTTCATGTGCCTGTTGACCATTTGTATTTCTTTGGAAAAAAAAAAATTGTTCAGGTCCTCTGCCCATTTTTAAAATCAGGTTATTTGTTTCTTTGGTGTTGAGGTGTGTGAGTTCTTTATATAGTTTGGATGTTAACCCCTTATCAGATAAATAATTTACAAATATATTCTCCCATACTGTAGATTGCCTTTTTGTTCTGATGATGGTCTTTTGCTGTACAGATGCTTTTTAGTTTGATGTAGTCCCACATGTGCATTTTTTATTTTGTTTCCCTTGCCTGAGGAGGCATGTCCAAGAAAAAATTACTCATGTTTTTGAAGAGATTTTTGCCTATGTTTTATTCTAAGAGTTTTATGGTTTGATGTCTTATATTTAGGTCTTTAATCCATTTTAAGTTTACTTTTGCATATAGATGGTAATCCAGTTTCATTTTCTTGCATGTAGCTATCCAGTTTTCCCAAAAGCTATTATTGAAGAAACTTTCTTTTCCCCAATGTATATTCATGGCTCTTTACCATATATTAACTGAACATATGCATGGGTTTATATCTGGGCTTTCTATTCTGTCCCATTGATCTATGGGTCGGTTATTGTGCTAGTACCATACTGTTTTGATTACTATAGTTTTGTAGTATAGCTCAAAGTTGGAAAGCATGATACATCCAGCTTTGATCTTCTTTCTCAGGATTGCTTTGGCTATTCAGGATCTTTGTAGTTCCATATGAATTCTAGGATTATTTCCTCTAGTTCACTGAAAAATGCTGTTAGTATTTTGATAGGGATTGCAGTGAGTCCATAAATTACTTTGGGCCATTTTGACAATATTAATTCTTCCTATTCATGAGCATGCAACCCAATCCTTTTTAACCTACATAGTGTTCTTTTCAAACTGAGATTGTGTTATACCCACTTCAATGTACTTACAATATATAAACAAAAGAAACACAAAGTCAAAGCAGCAGTATTGAAAAGAAAACAGAAATTACATTTTTAAAACATGGGCAAACTGTTATTAAAATCTTGAAAATGTAAATTGAACAAAAGGTATTTTGAATGAGGATAGCTAGGAAAGCAGAAAACAGTAAGATTTGTGTTATATGGATTTTAACATGAAAAAAATTAGATAATTTATCCCTTGATAAATTTTAAAACATGAACTATGGTAACATATGGTTAAATCTTTCTAAACAGACAAAAATTGGCAAACAAGGTTTTCTCTGTCATTGATAACAGTATTTCTCACATACACACAAAACAATTTTTTTGATCCATAGATAATTTAGCAACATAACAACAACCAATTTGTCTCACTTTACTTTCAGCCCTACAGCAGTGTTAGAAAGTTATCAGAGGCATTTTTTAATGACTAAGGATGAGATGATCAAGTGACAGACAGATATAAAGATACTTTGAAAAGTCTTTTTAAAGCTTTACTAATGCTAACAATCTTTAAGCATACTAAACTGATGTACAAAAGAGAACTGTTCCATGGTTCTGCATTCTATCCATTATGTAATGATTACGTGAACACTGTGGCTGCTTTATTCTACTCTCATATAATGGAGTAGATGGCATTTCCCTCCTTCTTAGGAAAGGACTCGTCATTTCTGTTGTCTCTTAGTTAAAAGGAAAGTCCTTAAGTAGAAAGACTGAAAACACAGGCTTAGAATAGAATGTGAGAAAGATACTGTGGCTTTCTCTGGCCAGTGCTCTCTAGTCTAAACTTGGAGAAGCTGTGTTTTGTTGTGGGCACTAATCATTGGTTTTATAAACCAGGATATCAAGTTTCATTTTGTTATCTCTCCCATCTTTAAAAAAAGCTATCTGTTCTTCTGGTCTTGTCATACCATGTCTCCTTTGAGATAGACTATTGAAGGGGAGCACCCACTCCCCAGGTAGTGAGGTAGCAGTGAGAAATCTTGAAGGAATATGGAATTGTGTTTAGCAATGGGACCCTTTTATGTCTAATGCAATGTTAATGAGTCAACCAAATATACACAACACGTAGCAGGAAAGCTCAGGTGGAGAAAGTAGAATGGATGCACCAGGCTGCTAACTGGCCTCCTGACCCTCCTTGCTCCTTACACATAGAACCCCTGATTCTGAAAAACCTTACCTAAGGGAACAGTCCAAAATCTCTACGGAAAAGTTGATGTGTGGACTAGAATATGGCTTAGTAATTTAACAATCATACTTTACATGGAAAGTATTTACACTGTAAGACATAGGACAAACAAGTCAAATTTAAAGTAATATCATATTAATGGAAATTATGTTAAAAGACAGAAGTAAAAATATTACTTAACTTCAGAATAATCACAGCAAACACTATTCTAGAAAGGAGTTTCCCAATATTATTGCTTTGACCAATTAACATATGAAACTTTTTAAAACTTACTTGGTTAAAGTCCTTTTGTCTTAAATATGTAATTGCTTTGTTTATTTCCAGATCATTTGCTAGCTCTACATATTGAGAAGCTTTCACAACTTCAACACACCTATAATGTAAAGCATAAAAAAAAAGGTTACTTTGTTTCAGTCTATTCATGATGGGAGTAGATTTCTAAAATGTGACTTTTCAAAAATTTTTTTAAGTGCTCCTATTTTTGTAAGTAAGGCTAAGCACCTGATTTTTTCCAATTCACTGTTACTGAGTTCTTCAGTTCTAAACTAATTTTCTTATCCAATTTTTCATCTGCCTACTGTTACTTCTGATTTTTTATGGTATCTTAAAATTGGATTGATATGTATGTTTTCATTTTTAATTAACTACTGTAACAATTTCAATTTGTAACAGGTAAAATTATTTCTATACATTTTTTTATCTTAAATGTTCTGATGGTAAGAAAAAGTCCACAGAACTTATAGACTATATTTAATTTTCTGTGTCTGAACTTAAACTATTGTAGATCTGTTCCCCAATGCATATTAATTTTAACTATATTATCAGGCACTGCACTAATTCCTTTATAAGCATTATCACCTTTAATCCATCCTCACAACAACACTGAAAGATAAGCATTTTACAGATATGAATATGGAATATCTGAGATCATGCAGGTAGAGAAAATCATCAAGTAAGAATTTGAACCCTATTTATGTTGATACCAAAATTCACTGTACCAAGACTGTTTCTTAAATTGAGGTCAATCAAAGTCAATTTAATGGATCATTACCTTTATTAAAAAAAAACAGAAAAAAGATCAAAGAGCATTGTACATAATAAGGGCAAAGACTATCTACTTAGCTCAATTGTAAACTTCTTGAAGGCAGATATTCCTAATCGTGACCTACCAACTGGCCTGCAATAAACAGTAAATATTATTTTCGTTGTGGTTGTTGGCTTTCTTGGCATGATATTAAAGCAATTAAGTCACTAAGAAAAAGACTGACAAATTTCATTTCGGAGACTCTCACCAGAAAATAAAAGTATATCATAATGCTTTGAGATTTAAAATATTTAAGAATTTGAAATTCCTGACAAAATACAAAAACTAGGATGTTGGAATAAATGGAGTTAAGGATTTCTAAAGTTCTAATATTATAAGTGAAATGGAAAAATTAATCATTTGAATCACACTATAATATGCCAAGGATGCACACAGTAAAAAAAGTAAGAATGGTAAAAGAATACACAATTAAGAACTTAATAAACAGATATTACTGGAATAATTTAAAATATTTAAGCAAAAAAAAGCAAGTAGAGATTAAAACAAGCATATAACATGAGACAAATAGAAAAAAAATGAGATAGGAAATAGGAATTCAGATAACCACATTAAATGTAAATGGACTAAATAATATAATTAAAAGAGGAGGCAGAAAACAAAACTCAATTTTGAACTGTAAGAGACACTTTAAATTAAGAACACAGAGTGACCGAAATACAAGTGAAATAAGATACACTACTAACCAAAAGAAAATAGACAATGCAAACTTTAAGGTAAGAAGCATTAGAAGTAATAAAGGACATTTATTAATGATAAATGGCTTAATCTACCAAGGATATATCCCAATTCTAAATATTCATGCATCTAATAATATAGCTTCAAAATAATATAGAGCAAAGTTAAACCTAAAGGAAGAAATGCAGAAATCCACTATAGTAAAAAACTTCAAACACCTCTCTCAATAGCTGAGAGAACAAACAAAAATCAATAAGGGTAAAGATGAATGGATAAAGAAGAAGTGGTACACATGTACAAAGGAATATTATTCAGCCATTAAAAAGAAAGAAATTCCACCACTTGTGAAAAGATGGATGAACTCAGAGGTTATTATGCTAAGTGAAATAAGCCAGGTGGAGAAAAACAAATATGATATGATTTCACTTATATGTGTAATATAAAAACAAAACAAAATGATGAGCAAAACAGCAATAGACTCTTAGATACTGAAAAGTGACTGGTGGTTACCATGGGGGAGAGGTTGGGTAGCTGTGTGAAATAGGTGAAGGGGGTAAAGAGGCACAAATTCTCAATCATAATATAAATTAGTCACAGGGATAAAATTTCAGCCTAGAGAATACAGTCAGTAATTCTAGAACATCTTCCTACATTGATAGACAATAACTACACTTGTTGGGGTGAAGATTTAATAATGTATATAAAGGCTGAATCACTATGTTGTATACTTCAAACCAATATAATATTGTATATCAACTATGCTTCAATAAAAATCATGAAAAAAGAAAAGAAAGAAATGCAGAGGAACTAATACTAATTCAGAAAAGAAAGAAAGAAAAAGAAAGAGAGAGAAAAAGACAGAAAGAAAGAGAGAAAGAAAAGGAAGAAAAAAACAATGTGGGCAAGAAGATATGAACAAAACAATAAGAAACTTGACCTAACATATATAGGACATAACTCGCAACAATAATAGAATACATGTTCTTTTCAAGTACATTTGGATTATGCACCAAGCCTCAAGAAATTTCAAGGGGTTGAAATCAGTGAGTATCTCTGGATGACAAATTAAACTAATTATCAGTAATAGAAAAATAATAGAAAATGCCCAACATCTTGGAAAATAAATCTACTTCAGATAATCCAGGGTTCAAAGGTGACATCATAGAGAAAATTATAAAATACTTTAAACTGAATAATGATGAAAGTATAACATATCAAAACCTGTATGATGTAACTGCTAAGCAGTGCTTAGAAGGAAATTTATAGGTAAATGCATATTTTAGAAAAGAAAGTGGAAAATAAATTAATTAAGCTTCCATCTCAAGAAGCTAGGGGGGGAAACCCTAAATATAAAAAAATGTAGAAGGAAATAATAACGCTAAGGAGAGATGTCAATAAAATAGGAAAGAGACACACAATAAATAATCAACAAGGTCAAGAAATTTGAAAATAATGATAAAACTCTTAAGAAGACTGATAAGGAAGAAAGAAAAAAATACATGATCAATACCAGGAATGAAAAAAGGAGATATTACTAGAGACTCAACAGACATTAAGATGACAATAAGAAGATACTGTTTACAACATCATGCCAATAAATTAAGATGAAATGACAAATTTCTTGAAAAATACACAGTATCAAAAGTGATACAAGAAATCAGAATAGTTTTACATATTAAAAAGTTTAAACTATTTATTAAAATACTTCCTACAAAGAAAACTTCAAGCTCAGAAGGCTCTGCTAATAAGTGAATTTCTCTATTTAATAGAAAAATATAAACATATAACATAATCTTATAAACTCTTCCAGACAATTTAAAAAAGGAAAACACACTTGAACTTGTTTTATAAAACCAGTATAATCTTAACAAAATCAAAACATTATTTTTAAAATTACAAACCTCACTCTTCTCATTAATATGGATGCAAAAATCCTAAAGATTCGCAAATCAAATCCAGTGATATTTTAAAAGGACAGTACACCACAATCAAGTGGAGTTCATTTCAGATGGTTTAACATTCAAAAATCAATCTTATGATTATTTTGATAGATTGATTTTGATAAGTATTGATTTTGCCAATATAATCAAACAAGAAAACAAACAGAAAGAAGCATAAAGATCGAAAACAAAAAAGAAAACCATCATTATTTGCAGTGGTATAAATGTGTATATAGGTAATCCCAAAGAATCTAGGGACACTTATCTGAATTAATAAAATAAATTTGGTAAGGTTGGTGAATAAAGATCAACATATAAAATTTAACTGTATATACTAGAAAAGCACAAGTAGAAAATAAAATTTTAAACTATACCATATGCCACCAAAAACATTAAACACTTAGGAATAAATGTAACAAAAGACATGTAGATCCCTAGACTTAAAACTACAAAGTATTTGAAAGAAATAAGAAGACCTAATGGAAGAATATACTGTATTTATGGATTTGAGACTAAGCACTTTAAAGACATCAATTCTCTCCATCCTGATCTATATAGTTTTCAATGAAATCCCAGTTAATTTCCCAGTAGGTCAGGAGAAGTGGAAGACAAGTAACCAACTAGGAGAAAATATTTCAAAAGGATTGCTGAGACTTTAGATAAACTACTGAATGGTATCACTGCCTCAGCAACCATTTTGTTTGGCCAAGCAGACTGTAGGGGTCTTAAAATGACTTTGTCCTCTTTCATGCAAGTGCATGCTTTAGATAACAGCCTGCAAAGTCATAAGCAAATGTAAGTTCCTCTATGACTTCCCCAATCAACAGTTCTTAAGATATATTGTCTTCAATACCTCCGAGGGCCTTCCTCTTATGCAACCTCCCTTAGATAAGACTCCCATGGAGTTTACCACAATCTACTTGTGCTTTTTTAGTTTGAATTAACCCATCTGGTCTTAGCATGGGAACAAATCCTAAAACACTCTGTCCATGGACCCTAATAAGGGCATGTATCCCAGGTCCTGCCTCTCTCTGTGCCCCAAACCTGTCTTCACTTCCCCATGTGGCTCCTTGAGGTGTGCTGGATACTTCCTCCAGGAGCTGTGAGTAATAAGCTTCTCTATCTCAATTTCTCTTGTGGTCTGGTGTTGAACTGTGGCTCACCATCTGGCATGCTTGGGCTCTACTTAACAAATGTTAACAAAATCTAACAAAGGCATATCTAATAAAGAACTGTTAGCCAAAACAAAGAACTCTTCAAACCCAACAATAAGAAAGCAAAAACTCAACTAAAAAATGGGCAAAAGATCTGAACAAACCAGAAAAAAGCCAGATGGCAAATAAGCATGTGAAAAGATGCTCCACATCATATATCATCAGGGAAATGCAAATTAAAAAATAATGAGATACTATACACCTGTCAGAATGGCTAAAATTCAACACTGACAACGCTAAATGCTGGAGAAGATGTGGAACAACAGGGACTTTCATTCATTGCTGGGGCAATGACAGCAATCACACTCCTTGGTATTTACCCAGATGAGTTGAAAACATGTCAACACAAAAACTTACACATGAATGTTTATAGTAGCTTTATTCATAATTGCCAACACTTGAAAGCAACCAAGCAATCCTTCAATAGATTAATGGATAA